CTTCTGGGGTGTGAGTTTTCAGTTGCATATGTCCTGGGGACCATTCAGGCTTGTTCGCATTTGTGTTCCTCACGTGTTGCCCCAAAGAATGAGGTGATTTGGTAAAATGCTATGCCCAAGATAACTATCCGAGTGCCGGCGGTGGGGTGGTTCAAATAGCCTCGGCTATCACCTCATTATGTCCGGTCGTGATGGTCAAGTGGATTAAGGCGTCTTGTACATACCAGATGCGTTGCTTCTGGGAGTATGGGTTCGAGTCACTTCTGGGGTGTGAGTTTTCAGTTATATATATATATATATATATATATATATATATATATATATATATATATATATATATATATATATATATATATAATATATATATATATATATACATATAGTTTTTTGAGTGACAGAAACATTTCATATACTAATTTTAATGAGTTCAGTTGAATCAGAATCAGTATTATATTGTTGAATCCAAAATCTGTGTCATTGAGGTTTTCCGAACATTGAGAGGTGTGTTAGCTGTGGTAATGAGCAGAGGCTTCATGCAATATATTCCTTCGAGGAGTCATTCAGGTGAGAACCCTTGAAAACACTGTTGATGAGCATGTCTGTTGGGACCAAGACTCGCGGGATGCAATCATCCCTCTTTGTATCCAAGCCTCAGCTGTAACACTTGTTTCTCACCACTAGATGGGTCATGTCTCTCACTGCTTGCTGTGTCATGTCTCTTAATGGGTCATGTGTCTCACTGTTAGTTGTATAATGTCTCTTTGCAGCTTAATGGTGACCTCTCTTCAACTAAATGGATCACGTCTCTTATTACAAGGTATGTCATGTCTCTCACCACTAGATGGGTCATATTAGTAGATACATCATGTCTCTCACTGGTAGCTGTGCCACGTCTCCACAATTTGGCCATGTCAGTCACCACTAGATTTGTCATGTCTCATCACTAGATCGGTCTTTTCTCTCACCACTAGATGAGTCAGGACTCACCATAAGATCGGTCATGTCTCTCACCACTAGATGGGTCATGTCTCACCACTAGATGGGTCTATCTCTCATCACCATGCAGCTATGCATCTTTTTATAACACGCCCAACCACCTTCAACACCCTCAATCACCTTCTCCAAAGGCTCCACATTTCTGAAACACTACTAACCTCCCAAAAAATCTCCAACGCTCACTGAAAATCTCATCTATTCGGGGCATGTAAATATCGTTTCTGTGAATATATATATTTTTTGGACGATATAAAACCGGGTTTGACAACGTGAGCGACACTAGGGACATGGCTTATGCAACCGGTTCTAACGCCTTGACAAGAGTCAAATTTAAAATGGTTTTTGCCTTACTAAAGACTTTATAGACCCATGATCATCACCCTCCTTCCCCTGTCCACCTCGATGATCATTACATCGAGAAAAGATCAATAATGTGTTACTTCTATTTTCACTAAAGCAACGACATTTTAACGTTTTGGTTACGTCACCAAAAGTGTGAGGATAGGTTCAATCGTTAGAAAGCAATTCCATCAATTTCCATTCACTTTGCTGGTGTTGGAAACGATGCCAAGCCAAAAAATGCTCCGGGAAACCAAAACCGGCCTCAACAAGTCTAAATATACCCCAGTAAGCCAGCCTATAACTCAATACGCCTCAAAATTCACAAACTATACTACTTATACTACTTACAGTAAGCCACATAAAACCACTCACGCTACCCTTAGTCGACAACAACTTCACTAAACCAGCTTAATTATCTATGCCAGCTACACAACAAGCCAGCTACACTACTGCTGTAGCCTCAACAAGCCAGCTAAACTCCATTTGAAACCACAATCAATGAGCTAAGCTGCTGATGAATCCATAACAAATCAGCTAAACTTCTCCTGAAGCCTCAACAAATCAGCTAAACTTCTCCTGAAGTCACAACAAATCAGCTAAACTCCTCCTGAAACCACAACAAATCAGCTAAACTCCTCCTGAAGCTACAACAAATCAGCTAAACAACTCCTGAAGCTACACCAAATCAGCTAAACTTCTGAAGCCACAACAAATCAGCTAAACTTCTCCTGAAGTCACAACAAATCAGCTAAACTCCACCTGAAACCGCAACACCCCCCCCCCCCTCAAACCCACAAAAGCCAGCTAACCTTCTTGAGTGTTTTCAGAGATGGTGGCGTTGACGACAGACTGGGGGAAGTAAGGGGCGTTGTCGTTGATGTCCTTGAGATTGACGTGGACGGCTGTGGTGGCGTTGAGTTCCCCGTCAGTAGCCACCACCTGTAAGTGCCACCGGGACTTTCCATGGGGAGGGTCCCGGTCCAGTGGCTGTGATAGGAGAGGGAGAGACAGGAAGGATTATAATGTATGTAGATGGACAAGAAGAGGTAAGGAATTGGAAGGAGTAGAGAAATGAGGTGGTGATGGGTAGATATAGAGGGAGAAGGAGTAAAGAAGGCAATTGGTATATGAGTTTGAGAAGCAGAAGGGGGCAAGGAATGGA